AAGAAACAAATCAAGAACAGAACAACAACACACAATTAGTATTAATTCAATTTCGAAAATTCACAAACAGAGTCATACTAATTTAATTGTCACTATCGCTAATAGCGATCTACTGGATAGATTAGTTTCGTATTTTCGCATTTATGACGATGTATCTCTGTAGTTGTTCGTAAAATAATTTTTTGCTGCGAACTGGTTTATTTTGAGCAAAAGACCCTGGAGACATTTTTTGTTTAGAATGAAACAGGATATCGAAAATAAATTTTTAAATGGTAAACAAACAATAAGACAAAAAGTTGCATTGGAAATAAATTTTAGGGGTTGCGTTTCCCCCCCTTACAACCATGGGGTTCACCAAATAAATTTTTGGCTAAGTGGTAGTACAAAACGTCAGGTTAATTTCAATATTGCAACTTTTTTAGTGCTTGTGAAAAAAATTGTTATAATTTCCTGCATATGAGTACTTTCAGTATTCAGAAATGGACCTCAACAGCCATGCCTGCTAATACACGGCGAGCAAGGAATCGTCTACACTGACCAGGAGAAGGCGGAAGCATTCGCGGACAACTTCGAAAGACAGTGCAGAGAGAACGACGTCCCGTTCACGGACGAAGTAGACGAAATGAGAGACAGGTGGAAAGAACGGTACGAAGAATAAGACAAAGAACAGGCAACGCGTAACTCCTGGCCCCGACATCTCCCGAGGAAGTGAAAGACATCTATCCACTCGGAAAGCACCAGGCCCGGACCGAATAACAAACCTGACACTGAAAGTCCTACCACGCAAGGGTATAGCAGCCATAACCAACATCATAAATGCTATACTCAGGTTGCAGCACTTCCCGTACCCGTTCAAAAAGGTAACGGTTATCCACATCCCGAAGCCCAAGAAGAACCACCTGTTCCCAGACAATCATAGGCCAATTAGCTTACTGCCTTCCATAAGCAAAGTGGCGGAACGTGTCATCTTGAAGAGACTCAAAGAACAAACCAGAGAACTAGGAATCCTCCCGGACGAACAATTCGGTTTTTGATCAGAACACTCAACAGAGCTACAAGTCCTGAGGGTAGTAGACTTTGCGACCGAAGGCTTCAACCTCGGCAAAGGACACAACACCGGAGCTATCTTCTTACACGTCTCCAAGGCGTTCGACAGAGTTTGGCATGACGGACTACTGGCCAAGTTGAGCGATTTTGGAGACACAAAACCAATGGTGAGATTAATTCAGTCTTTTCTAGCTGACAGGCGATGCCGTTGCAGAGTAGGAGACGAATTATCAACAAGTCGACTACTGGAGCAGTCCTTTCGCCACACCTCTTCTCCGTATACACAGCGGACGTGCCCAAGCTAGAGAACAACTTTAACAAGTTGTCGCTCTACGCGGCCCTGCTGGCGAGATCATCGAGCCAAGCGCATGTCACGAGATATTTGCAGCAACAGGCAGACATATTAGAGGAGTGGGCCAACCTGTGGAAGATCAGTATAAACCCTGACAAGAGTCAGGCTATACTATTCACTGGCAGGCGTGTACAACCGGAAGGCAACGCCACCTTCAACGGACAAGAGATTCCTTGGTCCTACAAAGCGACATACCTGGGGGTCACCTTAGACAGGAGATTAACATTTCAGTCTCATGTACGGCAGAGAATTGGAATGGCCAGACACGCCACAACTGGCACCAATCATAGCAGACGCAACATGGGGTTGAAAGTGAAGTTGCTGCTGATCAAAACCGTTCTCATGCCCATAATACTGTACGCCTGCACTGCCTGGGGCCAGTACGCACAGACATACAGGAAGAAGATACAGTTGTTCATGAAATCGAACGTAAGAGCCGCCGTGAACGCATCGTACTACATCCCCAACAGATTTATATACAGAGACTTAGACCTGGACACGCAATATGTGGACGTGTATATGAGAGAACACGCGTTGAGAAAGGGACAAACACCCAAGACCGACAAAACAGAATCTACGACCGCCCCCACGAGTCCGGTAAGCATATTAATCAGACTTTCTTTCAGCAAGTTCACCGCATAACAACTCGACCGCGATTCACTTATCTTTAGATTCACTGAGGAACGCTCGACGCTAACAACAATAGCCGCTGGTTAGTTTTTGGGGGCCCCCATGCGAATATTCAGTTAGGAATAGCCATGACAAAATATTTTACCGAGCGCGAAAGAATAGCACCTAAAGGCTGACTTTCGACCAAAAGAAGTCAGATGTCAATCTTGCTGAAGTGCCCATCAGTAAATTAAGGACGTTCGGAGAGCGGGGGTGGATGGAGTGAGGTAGTAGCTTCTCCTCGCTAACTAGCTGGGGGGAAGCTTCTTCTTCAGGGCACTCAACCCGGGAGGGGACATGGGGGGGGGGTTTCAATTATGGAATATCATTGACTTTAGGTCGATGATGGCCACTATCTTGCACTGACGGGTGGCTAAGGAGTCCGAAACCGGTCTGCAAGTGTGCCCGTTCCAAAATTGAAGGTCGACTCTTTCAGTTGTATTGCCAGTTGCATATGCAGGAAATTTTCTGTGAAGATTCCTGCACTGACGCCTGTCAGATATAATCCAACGCCGTTCCTGGTATTAGCCAGTGGACTAGTTGTTTTCTGATAGGCGTCAATCCATTTAACCTACTGTGTAGGTATATCCGAGACGGGCTTGAACATTTCTTTAGATTTATCTCAGTTTCGAGAAAAGAGTTTAAACTTGTAACGGTACCACAAAAATTCAGATGTGATCCCTCTATATTTTTATTCGTGATGAAGTTTTTGTTGACAGTTGTACAAGGATAATTCAATTCAAATATTCATTTGTGAAACCTTGAATAGACAAGATAATAAGATTAAATGAATAGTAATACACCATATCTCTAATATTATCAAATAGTGCCTATCTTTGATAAAAAGTTTGTTATATTTCTCGGACTATATTATTGTCAGTCCTGAGGCTTCATAGCCATAACATTTTATTGTGATACTGAATCGCATTTGAGGTCGAATTTCTCGGAACTGCCTGGGGTTATTTATGCTCCAAATGTGTTCGTTATTTCGGTTGAATATCCCACAATTCGAAAAGTGTTTTCATCTGTCCAAATTATATTTTTCAGGAAAACAGGAAAATCAGGTCTTCTTATTAGCCAATTACAAAATTCTAATCCCCTTTCGGGATCAACTGGATGCAATTTTTGAGATATGTGTATTTTGTAACATTTTAAACCGCTTCTTTGTGATGTCTCCAAGCACTTGTATGGCAAATATTCATTACGGAGGAAATTTGTCGTGTAGATTTCCCCGAGTTCATGGTTGTCTGCGAATTATTAATTTTTATTGAAAAGGACGCAATGTCTAACTTACCTCATACATACCTCAAATTTTCTTTACTTTCCTGGTCCATTCTGTCTCCGTTGAATAGCAAATCTGAGAACGTCATTATGTAGCAGGGAAAAAGTGGCAATGTGGAAGTGCAATTTATAATCGAATTCTTCGAAAAATAAACCCATAAAAAATAAAAACCATTTTGCCGGATATCTCCGGATATAATAGGAATTTCAGAACTTCCTCAACGGCATATTGTTAGTCAGGTAAATGCGCAACTTTGTCCCAAATTAACCATCTTCGTATCTCTCATAGTTTCCGAGATTNGCACTGACCGCGCGCTCTCCGCCCTATATCTCGAAAACGGTTCACCGTATAAAAAATTTTTTCAAACAAAATTTGTAGAGAATTTTGTATTCTACAATATTGATAATAAATACAAATAGCAAAAAACCCATAGGAAATGAGATATTTCCAAAAAAAGCGCAAAAAACCGATTTTTGTGACCTTTGACCTTGAAATTTAATAGTTGCTTACACCCTACCATATGTATGTTTTGAGACAACTTTCAGGGTGTCAATATACAAGTATTTACAGACTTACAGCTGGGTATCTCGAATTCCGAGGTGAACTTACTATAATGACCGGACTAGTATAGGTGTATGGTGACTGCAGCAAATTTGCAGCTTTTACAATAAGACCTGATGTTCTTTGGACAATGAAGCATATTATTATTATTATTATAACGCGCACGTGGGATTGATGGGGACTTTCAACAGTAAATTCTCAATGACGTATTTGAGGTATCAACGAAAATCCAGCTGTTTGAGAATCAAAGCAAACTGGAATGTCTATTTTGTCTGGGCTACCATTACTATTTCCTCCGAAGAAATTACTCTGGTGGCTTCGAATTCGACTGTCCCAGTCCACTTGTCCCGATATCAAGTTTCTCGAGCACTATTTTTGGAGACGAGCTCAGGCAGAAATAGACGACTCGAAAAACACGACCGCAGAGAGAGGGGAGAGACCGACTCTCGCAAACTGAAAGAAAAATCTCCAACAGTCAGCACCGAGTCCTTGTTGACTGCTCACATTTTCCATCGTTTCTACCAGGTACGTCAAAAGATTCTCAGAAAATAGCGATACGGTCACAGTGAAGTGGTAGTGGCGTTTTGTGATTTTTTGGATAATCAGCGAGACCGGTAGTAGATTCAGGGGCGTCATAAGTGGTTTGGTCTAGTACAGGGTGAGTCGAAATCGAGGTGATGCATGAGAAAATTAGGAACCACGGCTGAGGAGCAGACAGTTACATAGAGATGTATTTTTTGGGGGTTCTCAATACATAAAGAAAAAATTGAAAAGTTTTATATTCATGTCCAGTGTGGAGTATCTGAGAATTATAATACTCTGTTTTGGAAAAATCGACTCCAAAAGAAATATAGCAATACATTTTTTTAGTATGTACCTACTTGATCAGGCAAAATGAAAAATTTTTCAGACAAATTTCATCTGAAAGTAATTGGGAAGTATTTTTTTCAATTTTGAACCGATGAAAACATGAAAATTTCAACTGAATTTCAATGGTTTTCTAGACATTTGAAAGGGGTATTTTGAATGATTCTAATAATTCATAAAAAAAGCTGATCTGAAGAATGGGTTCAACACAAAATCTCATAGAAAATTTGAATTAAACGTAACTTTCTATCAAATGTACAGAAATCTACAATTTTCATATTTTGTGGTAACGCTGAATGATTATGATGATGAATATATGAGTTCCTTAGATTCATCTGTGTATCATAACGTCGTCTCCTTTTTGATGAACTTAATTATTCAATCACAAACTTTATATCATTCAGTAGACTCTCTTCTACAGATTTTCTCATGCATCCTCAAGAAATTGACTCACCAGGTATGCATAATGTTGTGTTTGAGGTAAACATAAACGGCTGGTTGTATATTTTTCCTCAAATATGATAACCCATTATGGAAGACCAAGCTCCAGCTCATAGATATGCATACACATGTAAAATTAACGTCTTCGATTATATGAAAAAAATGAGCCTCAATAGGGTCTCTCATTAGGCGTTTCCTGTCCTCAAATTCAAACAAAACAGAGTATCTATGAGATATTATCGAAATTTTTGATTGGACTCGTTATTTTCAGTTGGATAATCGAGATTATATTCGTGAAGTAAAACTTTATCTAATGATGTCGGAAAAGGCTTATGAAGAGGAGCCCTTAGTTTTCCTGTAATATTTATGTTCTAATTTTCCCACAACTACTATTTTAATAAACAAATAGAGTATCGACTCATATATTGAATATTTAGTCTAATTGTCCCTCTAGTCCGTGTAGTTTCTGCGAAATAGATTCAGAATAAGATTCTAAAGTGTCTGTGGAACTTAGAAATGTTCACTTACAGATTTTGAAGGATCTTCTCTCTGCAAGCTTCCGGTGATTTCCAAAATTGTAACCAAAAAGTTTGATATTATCCATCTTGTAGAGGTACATCGGATTCTATCTTATTCTGAACTTTTTCGCTTTCAATTTCATATAATTTTAAGGCATTACATACCACATGTTTACAACTCAATATAACAATAATTTTCCCCTGTATACTATTGAATTTTTGACTACGATGTGTAGAAGAAATACAAAATAAACCATGATAATCGTATTTCGTGTACCACTACCTTTGTAATAAAATTCACCAATCTGCTTCACCAAATACTTAATCAAAGATTTACGGCAACCACACATTCTTTTGCATGATTTATTTTGGTACACCCCTCGTAAACCAATTTTTCGAAACATTCAATCGCTTATTAATGGTACAGATTTATTTTCCACTCTGATGTAACTTTATAGTAAACAACGCAATTTACGAAGGAAACCAAATCGGGAGATGAGAGAGTTTAAAATGCTTTTGGCATCAAGCCAAATCATCTGATCTATTTTCGGCCTCTCACAGTTTATATTGGTCTGAAACCAAGACAAAACATAAATAGAACGGTGCGGGAAATTGTGACATCTGACGGTAACCTTATGAACAAGGTGCACGTCAATCAATGAACTGATGAAATTGGAAAAACAATTTCATACAATGTCATCTTTTTGGAAGTTACACAAGCAACTTTATTGAGTTTGAATTTAGTTCTACTCTGTAGAAACTACATTTATAATAGATATTTGAAATGTTTGCTGCTATTGGCAAACCACTAATTAATCAAAACTGCAGATAATGAACCAATGAGTTTCGAATATGCAACAGATTTTTTTAATCAAAACTGCTTCAGGAACCACACATGGTATAAATGGTCCGTTTGGAAAAAAAAGTCAAGAGGACATGAGTCTAGTGACTGTAGTGGCTACACTAATATCAATGGACTATTCTGCAGCCCTATTAGCCATCGATTATGATACACCGTTCACATAAGCCGAATTAGGTACTTTCACATACAACGCTTGATGATAAATATGTATTTAATGACAATTTCAAAAATGTAAACATGAAATTGCCGTGTAGATATTCACACTTTCTCAACATTCAAGAGTAAGGTGAAAAATAGTATTGTGGAGAAATTGATTAGACGATATTTGGTGAGAATCCATGAATACTATACTAAACAGTACAGTGTTCAACTGCTGTTGCAATCTAGGACAGTCTTCAATATCGGTAAAAGAGGTGTATAACTTCAATTCATCTGCAAACATTAATCTATTGCAGTATAATGTGTTGCATGAAGCATTTATGAAGAGTAAGAAAGTACTGGCCCAAGATAAGATCCTTGAGGGAACCCACTAGTGGGAAAATATATATTTGAAGAGGAACCAAACTGCTTGCTTTGATGGCAAAATTTGGAAAAGAAATAAACAACATCTATGTATAGATTACGAAATACTTTGTCGATCAAGAGGTCTCATGCAACATTTTCAGCGCTTCGGCACTTGAAAACTCCATTTGCGATTCAAAATTCGGGGCAAATTCTTTGTTCGATATTTTATCCGTCGTTAAAATCGCGAAACACATTTGCGGTTTTTCAACAAATTGAGTACTGTGAACAAACTGATTGACGGATGACACTTGAACTCCGCGTAAGTGTAGTGAACAAGTCAGCCAACCTAGCTACAAAAATAATTTCGATATTTCTTTCACGAGGGCTTTTTAAATTATCGATTACCGGTACTTTGATAACGTAATGTACTCGTAAACAGTTTACTGCCACATCACATTTGTATATCGTTTAATAATTCCTGATGTTTCAGAACAACAGCAACAACTTTCATCATGGCGGACGACGAGGTTAGGTAAGTAGATTTCACTTGAAAAATGGTTAGATACAGTTAGTTTACGAATACGAGTACCATTAAGAGAGTCATAGTTACGACCGCACCGGGGGGCCAGTTAGGCCCCCCAGACGCACCCTGGCGTTGGATGCGATTGGGTGTGGAGGGATGGATTTTCGGGAAATCCTTGCGGGTACCGCCCCTCACCCCACACCAACAGGATTTCGCAGGGCTTCCTCCCGCTCACCGTAATAACAATTGCAATTTTTCACCTGCACCAAAATCCTTCAAAAACATTTTTCTAGAGGTGATTCCGAATCGAATGAGCTATCGCTCATATTTTTAAAACCTTCATCTCTATTTTTCATGTTTTTGAACTTGCTGATTAAACTATACGTATTTGTGTCTGTAGATCACGAATCTAAAGTCACTAGATGGCCAAAAAAAATCCTTATAATGAAATTTGAGCGTTATCATCAGAATGATAGGGGCAAAATCTGGAGAATACGGTGTATGAGGAAGCAATTGAAGCCATTTTGTTGAGTGGCCATGTCTCAGAATATGGAACGGAGTGCCAAGTTTTGATTTCAGATTCGAAATCAGCGGACAAAAATATCTGAGTGTGATGAAAATTTTTCAAAAGCTATCGCATTCCCGAATAACGAATAACCATCTCTTTTTCTACTATAAAGACAAGTAGAAAATCCGGTAGTTCTGTTAACTTTATTTTAGATTTACTCTTAGAACTGCTTATTTCGCTGTTCCTGATGAAGCTGTTAAACACACTCGTACTTCTTCAAGATGCTGAACTATACGTGGTTCAGTTTCTACATTGCTCTTTCTTTTTAGTAGTTTAACAAAGTATTTAGTTCGGAGTTGTAAGTAGTACATCTGCTCTCACATTTTATTAACTCTTCTTTTCATGCTTCTCTAACATATGTACTGACAATTTTGAAGTAATGGATTTGGATTGTGCCTTGATGTATTTACTGTAACTTGATTTCTTTCATTTGATAAACACCAGCGTCGAACATTTGTCATTCCTACTCACTGGATTATTTTCACTCACACGTACACACTGTGTTTCTTTCATGGCATCGTTACTCTACAGCCCTTTCAATATACCCACTCACAAAACTTTTAATTTCTGTACAAATATTCAAGCATCCCAACTACATACAAGATTCATATTCAGTTTTCTGCAACTGATGAACTGGCTGCTGTATTGATTATTTTTTTCTCTTTTCTAGAAAAAGAAACTGGAGGAGGCACGTATCACAAGCAACACTAGGTATATCGAATAGTAAACAGAATCAGTCGATGAAAAAAATCAAAACCTGTATAACGTTGTGTATTACTGGAGTTTTTCCCAACACCAAATCGCTATTTCTAACACCTCGACACGTGGTTTGATCTTCAAGAGGAAGATTAAACTAGAAACTATCGCGAAGCTAACGCTTAGAGCGTTAGCTTAACGTTAGCGTTAGCTTCAGCTTAGCGTTAGCGTTAGCATTAGCGTTAGCTTCGCGATAGTTTCTACTTCAATCTTCCTCTTAGAAAATTTTAAATAATGAGTTATTCACTTCGTATTCATATTATTTCTGAACAATTGAAGAAATATCGATCGTTATAGACTCTATTAAAGATAAATCACGCGACTTCCAATGAAATATTGACATCTGTACATTCTGTTTACTATTCCTCCCTTTCTAACAGTTTGAATAAACATGACTTTGACATAAAAATAGGAAAAGAGGAGGAAACAAGCGGAAATTGAACGCAAGAGGGCTGAGGTCAGGGCTCGCATGGAAGAGGCCTCCAAGGCCAAAAAAGCCAAGAAAGGTTTCATGACCCCTGAGAGGAAGAAGAAACTTAGGGTGAGTACTTAATATTCCTTCCAATTATGACCATTCTTACGTTTTACATGATGAATGTAGACAAATCTGTATTGCTTGAGCTTACTATTTTCGACTGTTACTGACACTAATACAATTTTCAGTTATTGCTGAGAAAAAAAGCAGCAGAAGAACTGAAAAAAGAACAAGAACGCAAAGCTGCCGAAAGGAGACGTATCATCGAAGAGAGATGCGGAAAACCAAAACTTATTGATGAGGCAAATGAAGGTATTGATCAAAAAAATTATTTATGTTATCAGACGAAGCTGTTGCATTAATTCGAGCTCCCAACAAAAGAGTCTCTATAGATTTTGGAAAAAATATTCTGTATTATCTGTATATTTTTCAACTTCTTAAGTCGAATCAAATCAGCAGCTTCGTGAAAATATTCTTCTCTTCAAACAAGCGGTGTTTGAAATCACCAGTTCTATTATATCACCCTGTACACTACGTTCGATACCACACATCAAGTCTCTCCACATTCACCGCCCGCAATTTCCGGTTCAGATCATCTAAAATTATTTTTTTGATTTGTGGTCAGAAATTTGAACAGTAGTTTCGTATCACACTGAACTTCCCATTGAACTTACATTTTTCCATAGAGCAGGTGAGGAACTATTGCAAGTTATATCACGATAGAATAGCTAAACTGGAGGACCAGAAATTTGATTTGGAATACCTTGTCAAAAAGAAAGACATGGAGGTTAGATTGGGTTGAAGTATTTTTGCACGATGACGGTTTTTTTTCGAGCTACACACGGTGTATGACTGCTGCAATCGGGGTTAGACATTGGATGAGGACAGGTTTTGACACATCTCAACACAAATAACTAAAAAATTGTCACGTAATCCTAAAATGTGACACATGATGAAGTTAGGTTATAACATTATCATGAAAGAGTGGGGGAAGAGATTTATCAAAAGACTTTTGAGACTTATTCATGGAACAAGTAATTTCTAGAAGACATCATGAACCCAATAGAGTTTTTTACACTACAAAACTTCTCCTCGTCATTTTTTTCAACAATGGTCTGCTTTTTTTGCTTTTGACGATTTGCATTCCGTGCATTTCGGTAGATTTTTGCAAAGTGTAGCTGAAGTCGTTTCTATTCTTTCAGAGGGTACTTCATATCAGTTTTTATGAAAAAATAGGAGTAATATAAGTTCTTAGAATCATTTGTAGAGGGTACTGCATATGTTTCTCAAAGTAGGAGTAATGTAAGAGTACAGTCGAAGTTTTTGAGAATCCACCAGATATTTATAAGTAAGAGTGACAGTGGTATCAGTAGGTATCAAAACTGATAAATGAAAAGTGAATGTATCAAAATTACCCACCCCCCGCCCCAAAATGAATCATATCTAGCTGTCCATTTGAATCCAACAGTAAACTTATGAATTTTCGTGTATTACTTCACAAGTAGAGTTTATGAGAATGCCTTTTGGGTTCGGAAATACCCCTTAAACATTTATCACTCAAAAACAAGTTACAGTATATTGTTATCCTTCTTTATCTTATCCATCGAACGTGACATCTAAATTATATGTTATAGAAAGCTTATTACATTTGTTTTCGGTGCAGTGTAGATTCATGTGTGTCCCAAATGATAGAATAGATGACAGATACAAATTGGTTGCTTGTCTATATTTTTAAATGCTACTCTAGTAAGCAAATGGATTATACTACTATCAGAACTATCATTTAGATTCAATTATCTCAGTGTAGGATTCAAATGAACAGTGAACTTGATACATTCATCCCAAATCCCCAAAGGTTATTTTTTAATATGAAAACTGTATGGAAAACAGCTCACAGAATTATTCCTCTCTCTCTCTCTGCATTTTAGCAAGTTTAAAACAAACATGCGAGACATATCACAAACGTATTGCTGATCTTGAAAATAAAAAATTTGACCTCGAAAAAGAAGTGGAGTTCAGAGAGTTTCAGGTAGAGATGGAGGGCATGTTTAAGACTGCACAGGCATAGGATTTTGTAACACACAATATATCTAGAGCTTTTTGCACTTTTTGAAGAACAATCAGTATTTTTGACTTGCTATTGTACAGATCACCACTTTCAATAACAAATGGTGCTTGGAAAAACGAGGCATGTTAGATAGTAGTCAATAATCAACTAGGCTGGTTTTTCCAGGAACCCACTTTTATTTTTCCATTATTTTTGTAAATTCTACACGGTCTGTTTTTAGAAACACCTTTTTCAGAATTTCGCTTTCAGCTTATTGCTTTTCCTCCACTTTCCTCTCTAAATGTTTATCTTCATTTGGCTATTTTGAACGTTCTACCGACATACTTTAGACCTACGAACTTCATGTCACTGATAGAACATGAAAATAAATAAAAAATAATATAAAAGTGACCCATATTGTGAAGTGACTTGATTCTTCAAATGGTACAGACAATTCCACATTTCATGAACTATAACAGCTGAAATCCTAGAACCAAGATTGAAAAACTTGAAGAAATACCTTTAAGAAAAGAGAAAGCATCTGTCCATTCAGAAAATCAGAATGAAAATGTTCATTCGTTACCATTTTTGAATGGGTCGCTTAACATTAAGTCATTAAAATCCCCAAAAAGTATTTCGGTGTAACGACCAAAATGCCATCTTCAATAATTACTACCTCGTCACAAGGATGCAGCATAGAGATAATTCGAGATGTTTCTTCTAGCCGAACTGCAAACAATTTGTAAATCGTATTACGAGAAAATCGTCAGGCTTGAAGGGGATAAATATGATTTAGAAGTAATCGAACGTATCAAAGCCCAGGAGGTACAGACACGATACACAGGCTTTAATTTTCTTTTAGGTCGCTATCATGGAATGGCATTTTTTAAATGGTGGAAAGTAACCGAAAAATAACGAAAATACATAACTAGAACGATGTGGCTGGTTTTTTGGTTACTTTTTTTATCCGCAATGTACATATTTTTGCACAACGCTGTTTGTATTTAGGACCGTTTTTTTTGTTGGTGACCCTTGGAAAAGGTGCCGTCGTTTACCAATCCTTTTTGAAAGTTACAGATGAGTTTTCAGAAATTGCCCAAGTTTGATTTTATTCGACTGACTTCGAAATCTATGATATGATGATTTATCGCCTTCATATATTTGAAGTCATCAAATGACATATGACAGAAAGTCATACTTAAAGAACTTCAAAGTAAGTCATTGTATAGTACCAAGTCGTAGGTGCATTTGTGAGGCCGAATGGCATACTGAATAACTATTTGGTCCAGAAGACTAAGGTCTGGATATTATTGGACTATTACAATAAGTTCTTGTAAATCTTTCATAGCAAAAATCTCACAATATAGTTCATCACGTTCATCAAATTGAATGTCACATTTGGAGACTACGTTGGTTAAACTTGAGTATTCTATATAACAGATATATTTTAATCAATTTTTTGAAAGTTACAGATGAGTTTTCAGAAATTGCCCAAGTTTGATTTTATTCGACTGGCTTCGAAATCTATGATATGAAGATTTATCGCCTTCATATATTTGAAATCATCAAATGTTATATGATAGAAATAGCCGAGATTTGATTTTGATTATTTTTAAAATACTTCAAAGTAAGCCATTGTATAGTACCAAGTCGTAGGTGCATTTGTGAGGCCGAATAGCATACTGAATAACTATTGTGTCCAGAAGTCTGGACTATTACATTTCTCATAAAATCGTGTAAAGTTCTTGTAAATCTTTCATAGCAAAAATCTCACAATATAGTATACCAAACACGTTCATCAAATTGAATGTCACATTTGGAAACTACTTTGGTTAAACTTGAGTATTCTATATAACAGATATATTTTGAATCAATTATTTCGAATTCGGGAAATAAAATCCTTCTTGATCATTCTGAAAACTGAGTTCTGCTTAAAGTATACGGGCAGAATGAGTTTGAGTCGATATTTCTGACTGCTGGTTCCGTTTTCGATTTCTAGGCCAACTTAAGAAGATTTGCAAAGACTATTATGACCGCATGTATATATGTGAAGAGCAGAAATGGGATTTGGAACGCGAAGTGCGAAAACGCGATTGGGAGGTATCTCTTACACACTCACATACACACGAATAATATTCCATCGTTTTGTGCTTCATATCATACATCAGTTACACGAATATTGATTGTCAGAGAATCAAGTTGGCGAATTATAAAGTACCAAGTTGTAGGTGCATTTGTGAGGCCGAATGGCATACTGAGTAACTATTTGGTCCAGAAGACTAAGGTCTGGATATTATTGGACTATTACAATACATTTCTCAGGGTATTTCATGAAACCTGGGCGATAACATTACTTTTTTTAGATTTTATAAATCGTCAACAACTCTTGTGGTGACCACATATTTATTATGACCTCTGTTGTGACAACTAAATGTTTATTGTGGGTACATGAAGTATTCAAGCCGAATCCCATCCCTATCTCTATCAGGGCTGTATCATACAGGGTTCTGCAAAAATGCATCTGGTTTCTATAGCGTGAAAACTACTATTGACAAAAACTCATATATCCTACATATGTGCTTGTTTAGAATTGGTCCTGGTGAATTTTATCACTATATTTATGAACTTAGAGAAACATCACAGGGTATTCAGTTGGAAAGTAGACAAAAATAGTTTTGCATACAGTGTACAATTTTTTTCGTTATAAAATGCTATACGGAAACCCTGTGCATAATTACAAGACTCTGTATTTCTGATATTACATTGGCATCCCTAGATTGTGTTTCGTTTGGAACGTTTAGAAGTAGTTAGCTAATTGAAAATTTTCTCAGCCCAGCCTCAGCCTCATACCTGTGTAGTTTCCTTTTGCACTTTCATTCTATCACATTTTTTGTAGATGATTTAAGAGGAAGAAAATTAGATATAGTCATGATGTTGGCTTCCAATTCCAATTTCAAATGCCGCGATTTGTTGAGAACGCTTTTGTTGAAAAAGATATTGAATGAAAGTTCAGTTTGAAGATAATCATCAAAGAGGTGATATTAAATTATCCTTATTTCAAAAATCCTTCTAGGAAGCCAGTATACATCACATTTAAATTCATGGTCATTTCGAAACAAGAGCTTATTGTAGTAATACTCGCTAACCCTATCACGGTAAACGTCTTACAAGTAGATCCCTGTAACAATGGCTAACGCTTCTCCCAGCTCTCCCTAGGAGTAGGGCATGGCCCTTCATGCTTTCGCCAAAAATAGAGTGTCTGATTTGTCTGATGGACCATTCCAAATCACCCAAAATAGCCGGATAATGTCTTTTGGAAAACGGAACCTACCAGTACAGAAGTGCCATGCTCTATTTCTTCACTTCATCGACATGTCGTTTAGGCAGATATAATGAGGAGAACATGGCCTAAATTGCGTATGGTTGGGGCAGAAAATAGAGTGAGAATCGATGCAAAGTAATGTTGCTCAACAATATACTTTGGGAAAAGAATGAACAGAGTATTGAATCTGGAAAACGTGGTGGCTCCCACAGTGATTTCTCGAAACTACGATATTTTTGTATGTTTCAAATTTTGCGAGTTCATTTGTTATACTTGAATATGCCAACCATCGTACTATGAGATATCATCATTCACTTATTTACGTTCATAGTGAATTTCCTCTGTTGCAAAGTCTTGATACGGTTGTATGTTCTCTTCAGTATATCGTACGAAACGACATTTTCGCGTGAAGTATATCTCCGTCACAGGATTGGTGTATTGCGCTGTAAATAATTATGAAATATACCTCAAAATATTGTATTTTGATATTATTTTGGCATAATGAATGGTAGCTTTGACAACGCTTCTTTTGGTAAGACAAAAACTGTATATGACCAGCAAGTAGTAATTTTATATAGAATAGATCCCGCAAGTTCCTTTTCTGAAGAAGTATGTATTTTCCCAGTAAACTGACTTTTGTACCTCCCTTCCAACTGTATTTTTTGAAGAGAAACATGTTAATTTTTGACGTTTCTCGCTCACCTGTATATTGTGTATTTGTGTATGTATTTTTCAGACGAATAAATAGATTATATTTACCCCTATGTTACGTTGTACCCGAACTCTCACGTTTACTCCTCTATCATGGACGTCCGCAAAATTTTTCAAGAGGGTGTGACAGAGAGGAAAATTCTTTGTTCATCCTCTTAGGTGTCTGTGTCCTCAACTATCTGTCCTGTCTATGTTTGTAACTCACGCAAGCTTGATGTGAACTTTTTTCTTTATTTCTCTACTAAAACTTGAATGTGGCAGCGTTGTTGGTGTGTTTGTTCTGGAATAACGTTCTGTGTTACATCATTCAGCACATCTTCAAACTAACAACTATGACAACTGGTGCAACTTATTTTAGTTCAGACGTTTCATCAAAGCAACTGCAGATAAAAATTACAGATACCAAAAAAATAATTTGCACCAATTCACTTTTGAATAATTCCAAAATCCTAATTGGTTTTTTTCTTCAGATCGCCGAATTGAACAGTCAAGTCAACGACCTCAGGGGTAAATTGTGAGTATCAACTAATCTCTAACTTGGTTTTTGTCATATATTTCATCAGCTCCTGAGATTTTATCAAAGGTTTCGAATATTGATTCAATTGTTCGTTTCAGCGTCAAACCCACTCTCAAAAAAGTATCCAAATACGAGAACAAATTTGCTAAACTCCAAAAGAAAGCAGCAGAATTCAATTTCCGTAATCAACTGAAAGTTGTAAAGAAGAAGGAATATACCCTGGAAGAAGAAGACAAAGAAGTGAGTATCATTTTGAAATTCAATCTCTGATTAGAGTATGTTAGATCACTGTTAACTTATTCCTCTCTATATTATAAATTTGCTCAGTAAAAACTGAATTTTCAGTTCATCAGATTGATGCACAAATGAGAAGAATATTCATTCTATTTTCTCTGTTTCGTCCATTGATTTATCGACAATTCTCAATCATATAATATAAAGCAATAGATTTTACATATATTGTGACTATATTTTTAAATAATATTCCTCTAGTTTATATTGTTCAAAATTGAAGAATCTCAGTTCTTCATTTCAATCTTTTGAGTGAGGTTTTTGACAATTTTATTATGTGAAAAAAGATTTTACGATATTTCTGAGAAAGATGTATGAATTTTTCTATTCAGTAATATCTTTCTTGGTCATAGTGAAAAACACGAAATTAGGAGACTTGTTAATTATTACATAAGCTGTTCATAAAATAAGGTGAATGAATGTTCGATGACAAAATAGAAATCAACGAATAAATATAAATTTCTGAGAAAAACGAAAATTCGCCTTATTTTTCCGAACCGACAACGAATCTTTATACTTTTACTGTCAAGCATTTGTATAGCTTATTGTTTCATTGAATAAAAAATATATATAGTCACAATTTTCAAGAACAACATTAAACAATTCTTTGAGCTCGAGTTTGTTTTTCACAGCCGAAGAAATCGGAAAAAGCTGAATGGCAGACGAAGAAATAAACACTCTGTATCATCGTCCTTTTTTGATTTCACGAATTACACACTTTTTTGAATTATACCTGCATATATGTTTAATAAAATATTAGAAAATCTAAAAGTGATTTCTATACGACGACTCGCTATTTAGGGATGTATATTTTGTTTTTTGTCCCATTTTTGAGCTTTTTTATAATTTTTTTTAATGAAGGATATAAACCTTAAGAACAAGGTGAGCTCTGGCAAATCTGCTATTTTCTGGCGAACTAATACTGATCAGCTGTCTCATTTTGCGTATAACCATTTGTTATTGGATAGTGTAACAAAAACTATAGTAGTTTAGTCGATTTCTGCCTAAAAAGCTTTCAATAACGTTTCAGGCTGCTTCAAAAGCTGCAGCAGCGAAGGTAACCAAATCTGATTAGGGAGACTCTCGCTTTTATATTCCCCTAAAATCTGCATTTTTCATGTTCTAGTTCTTGCATACAGTGTACCTAGACCTCTGAGTCTGCTTGAGATTTTCTTGAATTTTCCCCAGACTTAAACTCCTACAAACAGCATTGCACCACCCTCTATCTCACAGCACTTTCTGTTTTAGCACAACCCACTGAAATGAACACAAAGAACGATATGTAGAAATGATTTGTTTTAGTTGTAGTTTGATTTTCCCCTGTACTATATTCCAAACATAATGAAGATCAGGAATGAATACATAATTCAACGACCTTTCTGCAACTAGTCTGCTCTTTACAATTTTCCCATAATTCTTGTACATACTGAAGACAAGGTAACCATCTGAGATCAGTTTGAGGGAACACATAAAGCCATTTCTTCTCCAAATTCCAACGATGGGAGCCCCTCCACTGAGCTATTCATTCCTGTTCTTGCTCCATGTTATACTTTACTGATGTTTTTCGAATTTTGCAGAAGAAGCCCGATTGGTCAAAGAAGGGAGACGAAAAGAAGGTACAAGAAGTTGAAGCATGATCTGTCCCTACAATTTAATGTTTCCCTTCGTTCGTGGGAATTTTACAACTTAAGATATATTTATTTTATTCGCTTCTTATGAGACTATGAAAGTGATGTCTGCATGTATATTATTCGTTTTATGTATGTATTAAAAAAAAGAACTTGATTGACGTCTTGTGTCGTTATTGTTTTGTTCAACCCTTGAATCCTTCTTCTTTGTTTTGTTTATTTCAGTTTTCCATTCTTTCTCTCCCACTCTTCATATTTATATATTGTTTATTCTACCCTATTTTATTTAATGTTATTTTATTTTTGGCCATTATGTAATGCATATCTAAATATCAATGAAAAGGGTGTTAATAAAATGACTCTCTATACAGGGCTTTTCATGAGGAGCGTTAATTAGCCGTTTCCTGGAAACTATTTAAAGGATCAACCTGAAAATTCCACAGTATGCATAAGTCAATATGACCTACACGCCTAAAATATTTTAGACGAAGCGGCGTTGTCGCTTCTACTATAAAGTAGCGGCTTCTTTGATTTTTCAAATGGAACAC